GTTTGAATCCCGTCCGATTCATACCAAAGACTTAAAAAAAAAATGGTACTAAGAGCTGCATCGCTTGCCGCTCAGCATTAACAGATTAGTGTTAGGACTGGTCAGCCTGGTGTCAGAATAATGTGACTGGGTGGGACATCATGCCATATGTCTGCGGCATGATGCCCCAGTGCTAGACATTACTATAAACTGTCACTCTGCAGACATCGTAGCGATATGACTGAAAATGTTAAAGGTACGTTAAAAATCAAAATCACGCTTACCAATTTTAAATACTTTACCCGATTTTATGTACTTTATAAATGTTTTGCAGGAAGGTGTGTATTCTTTACAGTGTTCTTTAGTTTAGTTGTACCAATTTTATTGGTACTTTATGAATTTTTGCAAGAAGGTTTACAGTAATTACCAGTTCTGTAAAACCCAGTTCATTTATTTTATTGTTTGCACAATAGTTGACATGTATTGAAATCCATCCTTTTCTTTACCCATTATAGGTCGAATTATTTTTCACTGTTCCAAATAATGGCAAGTAATCTTGCTTTGTTCCCATTTCAATGTAAATTGATCTATCTGACATATTTTCAGTAGAAATAAATGGAATGTGGGCAAAACAAACATTAAAATAAAATTAAGGTCATGAAAGAAGATGGATAGTTTATGTCGCAACAGTCAAAAAGGTCCACATGGAATTAAAACTTGGAATATTTTACATGAATAAAAAAGAACAAGTTAGGAACGTTTAACAAGATTATAAAACATCACAATATGCTGAAAGCACAGTACGTTGAAGAAATACTAATTCATACGATGCGGTGCAGCTTTATGAAATACTAATTCAAACCGCTTAATCTGCTATTTGATACTATGCGGTGTTGCTATATGAAATACTAATTCAAACCGCTCAATTTGCTGTTTGATACGATACGGTGTGTCTATACGAAATACTAATTCAAACCGCTTAATCTGTTATTTGATAGTATGCGGTGTATCTATATGAAATACTAATTCAAACCGCTCAATTTGCTGTTTGATACGATGCGGTGTGTCTATACGAAATACTAATTCAAACCGCTTAATCTGTTATTTGATAGTATGCGGTGCATCTATATGAAATACTAATTTAAACCGCTTAATTGCTTTTTGATACGGTGTGGTATATATATATATATATATATATATATATATATATATATATATATATATATATATATATATATGAAATACTAATTCAAACCGCTTAATCTGCTATTTGATACGATGCGGTGTATCTATATGAAATACTAATTCAAACCGCTTAATCTGTTATTTGATACGTTGCGGTGGATGTAGCTATATGAAATACTAATTCAAACCGCTTAATCTGCTATTTGATACGTTGCGGTGGATGTAGCTATATGAATAATCGTTGTCATCATGTTAAAAATCAAAGGCTTTTTTATTTAAAAAGTACTTCAATGACCGGTTGTAACAGAGGCTGAAGTTAACAGTGAGCAATCAAGCAAAACACAATCAACTACATTGGCTTCGTCCAACCCAATAACAGGGAGATGATTTAACTTTTCAGTTAATAAAAGAACAGGTTTTATATACATGTAAATGTCTAGCAAAACAAGTGCAGCAATTACTTTTCTCTCAGTTGCAAAATTCACAATTTTTAAATAAAAAGATGGTTTAAGATGTCAATAGGTCCAGTATTATTTATTGCAAACAACGAAGTTGTAAAGAAAATGTTTCCAATTTCACTTAATTTACACAAATCTACCTGAAAGCATGTCGACCTTTTACCTGATAAATTTGTTAACATAATATAAATATATGTCAGATCAAATCTACATTTCTAAATAATCTATCTCTTTTCCTTACAACATGGTGGACAAATATTCAGTGAAACACAGAATATTCTCAACACTATTTACCCTGCAATAGCAACCCCTGTGCTTACTGTTGTCTACTGCATGCTTTTGAAAAACTAAGACTTTTTTGTACAATTGGTACAACAATCAAAAATCTATATTAAAGAAGCCGTAGGGCTAATAATTCCAATTAGTTTTGCCTTGACAGCAAATGTACATTTACCTGGCAACAATGTAACGCTATACTAGCTTTGCAAGCAAACCGTTATCACGTGATAAATTTAGCAGTTTAAGATGTTGGTTGGATACATGACTAGAAAAAGGCCTGCACTTTGTTAACGCTATTTGACATGATCCTGACAACGAAAACCTGTTAAAGCGCAAACACAATGCAAAGTGTAATACTGGTTTGGAGGCTCTTATCGAAATAATTGTAGCTGTTTTTGTGCTTCTTTAATTGGATTGTACTCAGTGGGAATAGTCCTACGCATAGTGGCTTCTTTAACGTTGAATAGTGATAGTAAAACACTGATATGCATGGATGATAAGGCCATTCAGAAGAAAATTATTAATGTACAACAAAGTTTTAACAAATGATTAATTAGCAAAAATATCGATGAATTGCATGAAATGCGATAATTGATAATTAAATCGAAATGTATCAAACGTGATAAATGACAATATAATCGATCACGAGGAGTGTACTTTTATCATCAATAATAACAATGGTTACAAAGATTTTTTTGGGAAAAAAATAATCAGGAACAAAAGACGGAGGAATGGAAAAAGCTGAAAGAGAGAGAAATCTTGGAAAAACTTACACCAAAGCAGGATATAGGGTGAAAAGAAATAAAGAACTTTATGACGTAGGAAACAGCTTTTTTTTATCCTGTACAAATGTTACAGTCGACTGACTACAAGAGAAAAAAATCTATATATCAAATGAGATTTATATAAAGGAGAACATGCATAGAATGACTGGAAACTGTTGCAGGTTTTGGAGGAGTCGTAAAGACTGAGGAGAAAATATGAAAAATATATCACACTATGTCGAACAGTGACTTAAACCTAAGCAGAAACTTCAGTACTAATCTAGCAACCGTCCTAGCCATTCTAGCAACCCACCTAGCCAACTAGCAACCGTCATAGTTAATGTAGCAACCGTCATAGTCAATGTAGCAACCGTACTGGCACAAACATCTCATGCAGCTAATACAAATTTTGTACAATAGCAAGTTGATACTAAAGCATGGAAGACTCTGACAACAAGATAAAATTTTCATTGCAGATTTGCAGATTTAATGGATGAGATTACAATAATGGCAGATGTTACACTCACATAACTTTACAACGACTTACACGCTTTGGTAGAACGATTCAAAACAGACACGTAATAGCCGTGACGTCATAGGGCATGATCACGTGGGGATTTCCCAGTGTGCTTTTGGCCAGAAATGTATATATATATATATATATATATATATATATATATATATATATATATATATATATATATATATATATATATATATATATATATATATATATATATATATATATATATAAGCGGTCGCTGTTCGTCGGGATTTTCATGCAATTTTCAACATAAGTTGGGGACACTCATTCATCCGCTGTCCTAAACCAAATCTCAGCCCTTTAAGGTACTTCCACAATACAGTCAGCAACCGCAACGACCTAACAACCAGCCTTTTCGTTTTCAACAATCCGAACAACCCCGAAACACTAACCATAACGAAAACATTGTTTGTAAAACTCTACATGGCTATCTGTATATGAGTTAAACACACACACACACACACACACACACACACACACATATATATATATATATATATATATATATATATATATATATATATATATATATATATATATATATATATATATATACATTGTCTCAACCAGCCTGTTTAAACTTGATGCGAATACTGAAAAGTGTTTATAATTCCATAAAGGTCTATGTCGCTTTGGCTCATATTTATTTATTTGTTTTGTATATGTTTTGCATTTGCCTTTGAAAAAGCTCAGAGCCGAAGGCGCTCAGGCTAGTTAGTTATTATTTTCGCACTGTTCTTCGTCAGTTTATTGCATCTATCTTAATCAATCCCTAACACACGTGATTCCTTCTTGGATCCAGTGCGCTTGAAAGGGTTGTTATTCGCCATTGAAATTCATTGCAGTAATCATTGATCACGATAGGTCTTTATACAAACAGATGCAATTAAAGCACTTTAAAACCAATGCACTCACCTACATTGAAAAACATTTCCACCTAGAAACCACCATAAGTTGTATCATTTTGTCGTTATAATGAGTAAAACAAACATTAAACAAATCTTTCTCCAGCTGTTTATGCCTATAATCTTTTATAAACAAAGCAAATGTAAAGTTCAATGATAACAACAACGTGCATCACATTCTCTTTATTCTGCATCATGGGTTTATGTTGATGATTTTGACGACTAGAAACAGATAATTGTCCATAAATAATTCATAGCAAGGAAACCAGTCATGCCGAGTTTCCTTTTGATGACAATTTATTTGACTGGTATATCATTGATAACCTTATCTTACTGTACAAATATTGTACTAATATCCCATGCTAATACACATATTTACACCTGTGAGCGGAAAGCAGAAAGGATTGAGATGAAATTGTGTATCCTGTTAAATTCATTTAGAAAATAGGCATAATTTATACTCACTAATCATTAATGAATGGAAATGCATTATTAATCTATAGGCCTAGAATTAACAGCAATCAGTTCGAATGATTATATATGCGTATTTGCACATGGGCGGACCACAATTTGATATGCCAATGGTATATCAAATTCGTTGATACCAAAAGTGAAAGCCATGCTATATTTAACTACACACACACACACACACACACACACACACACACACATTCATATATTCATACATACATACATACATACATACATACATACATACATACATACATACATACATACATACATACATACATACATACATACATACATACATACATACATACATACATACATACATACATACATACATACATACATACATACATACATACCCAACATCAGTAGCGGGTATACAATTAGCAATGCCTATTCAATGGCTTAAGCAATCGCCCCGGTGGCTTTGTTGTTAGAGCGTCCGCCTCGGATGCGCGAGGTCGTGGGTTCGATTCCCGGTCGAGTCATACCGAAGATTTACAAAAATGGTACTAACAGCTGCATCGCTTGATGCTCAGCATTAAGAGGTTAGTGTTAGGACTGGTCGGCCTGGTGTCAGGATAATGTTACTGGGAGGGACATCATGCTACTTGTCTGCGGCATGATGCCCCAGTGCTAGTCATCACCATAAACTACAACACAGCAGACATCATAGCGATATGACTGAATTGTTTTTAAAGCCACTTTAAAGTCATAATCAAATCACATCAGATTATATATATATATATATATATATATATATATATATATATATATATATATATATATATATATATATATATATATAATAAAATAAACAATAATCTCAGTTTTTATTAAAATCACTGTATAGTACATTCATGATAAAATTGTTTCCAGAAGTATACATTGAACAATTGTGTAATAAGCAAGCAATCTTATTTCCTTATGTTGTATATTAAATGTATGGACATGAAGTGAAATTGTTATTCTGTATGTCAATATAATTATAATCTATGATTATTAGAAAAAGAAAATAAGAGAACACAATAAAAAGTAAAACATAATTTATTCTGTATTTATTCACCTCATACATACACACACACACACACACACACACACACATATATATATATATATATATATATATATATATATATATATCTATCTATATAAATATATATATATATATATATATATATATTTATATCTATATATATATATCACATTTCTTCATTCTTTTCTTATTCTTATCTGTCATTCAAGTCTTTTATTATCCAGAAATATTCAATACCAACACCACAAGTAAACATTTACATTCATTTCACCTCAAGCCAGTATCAGGCGAACCCAGAAAATGTTATGACTGAAAGAACTCTTCACATAATCGTAAATACAGAATAGTCGTAACAATATATATATATATATATATATATATAATATATATATATATATATATATATATATATATATATATATATATATATAACATGTGATATGATATTAGTCACGTTTTTTCTTTTGCATTCAGATAGTGTGCATCATGTTTATAATATAATTGTCAGATACGTGCTGTAGTGTCTATTTTTCAAGTACAGTAGTTTCTTTCATCAGTTTAAAATTACATTTTTATCAACACAGCATATCAATGTCTAGATCAGTGTGATTAATTAGCCTACAACTGCTGTTTAAGGGACTTAAGTATGAGTATTACTAATATCGAAAGTTTGAAAATTTATTTTGAGAACTCTACTGCATGTATGTGCCAGTATGATTTTATCCCGTGCATAAGTGTATTTTAAATTCATATCATTCTCTCTTTCCACGCCATACAAAATCTTTCTGAGTGTGTTGGACACACGCACTCATTAACTTTATGGGCTGAGCAAGAACTACTGTTTAGGAGGAACGTCGACAAGATACGAGAAGGCTGTGGGATAGAACCCTTGTTGGTGGCCACAGGGAGAAAGCCACCAGAATTCCTGCAATTTTTTAACGAACGTGAAGAAATAACTCATGCTTGAATCGTTTCAATTGTTTTACGCTCATTTTTAGACATGTGAGATTTGAATGGCACTCCGAATCGGCTGAAAATCAAGCACTTCCAGTGGTTATTCATCCATTCTGCACCGAGTACAGCCGGCAGGCAGCATGTTGTATATATAGAATACGAATTCGTGTAACAAAATGTTGTCCTAGCTTTTACTGGACGAAAAGTTGTTTTCATTCTTGCCTTATATTGACTGGAAAGCAATATTAGATTTTGTCCAGAATACTTCTGTAAAATTTTAATGTTCAAATTAAATATATACCGCATAGTCAGCAATTAAATAACTAAAGTGAGGCATTGATAATTCACAATTATCAATAATGTGTTGTACAGTATATATTTAAACAATATCCTGAACGGCCGAATTAGGTGAAATGCTTGGGGGGGGGGTTTGCCCAAAATTTCAAAAGTACTCTGACTTTCCAAGATGGGGCACCAAAGCAAATATCTATGTGTCTGTATACACCAAGTATGGATATATCCTATAAACGTGCACACGAACAAAATGATTATCAAATTTCAAGTGTGTGTGTTTATGTGTGTGTGTGTGTGTGTGTGTGTGTGTGTGTGTGTGTGCCTCGCCCGCAAATTCAGTTCTGTCCTGATTAATAAATCCGGGTCGTATACTGTGATCCAGATACATGTATTTATATTATGTAAGTTTATCTCTTTTATTAATCTTATCCTTAATCTGGAACCTGTCTGTCAATGTGTACTTTTGTTCCACAAATGAGGTAAAATCAAAACACCACATCCTTCTGTAAGTGTATGCGTGTGTTCGTATGTGCGAAAAATTATAACAGTTATGGTAAACTATAAAGTTCATTGAGATATCAGTTGTCACTGTGAATTGATTATTGAGTAGCTTTCTATTTATTATAAAGTCTCTAATTAACCCCATCTTCTTTGGCCAATATTCCGATATGTTAACCTTATATACACCTTGACGGATCGAACAAATATTTATGTGCTTCGGATTTGTGAATTTCATTTGATGCGGTGGCTTAGAATTAAGTTGTCTAAATTTTAATACTGTTGCTACATGATCGAGATAAGAGGAGCACACACCTGGAGTGGACTCATAAAAATAAAACAATTTCTTACTACCAGTAAATGTTTGTACAAATACCTTATAGTCGAATACACTTTAACTTGCTTCTTTCGGGTACGTAGTCATAATCTCGATGTTAAAATACACAAAGTATCTTTCTGAAATCAATTGACTCCACCGTTTTTGTCCAATGTATACAATGCACAGCTATTACACGCTACTGGTTAGTTAACATTACATAACAAGGGAGGCAACTCATGAAATCCAATAGATGTCGATAGGACAAAGCACTAAAAGATCAGCTCGATCCGCCAAGTAGGGTTAACATATCAGAAGTTGTTCACGCTTATTCATGTTCTAATGCAAAGAAACAGTAACAAACATATAATGACTTTCTGTATACTAAGGGCATATAGTCCACTGTTAGCATGTTGTAAATACAAGTAACTAATGTTTTATTTCTGACTTGATATATTACTTAATAACTATAAACTTTAGCAAATTTCTGAGAACAAAAGTAATGGTATACGTGTCAGATTGTGAACTAAAAGTATGCACTTACGAATCGTTTTCAGTTGTTTTCATCGTAAGTTCCACCATTAGGTTTACAACAAGTTAAAAACGGTCAAAAGAAACAGTGAATGGTTCAATATACCTGACGGTCCATACATATGTGACAATTAGGCTCCGGTTTCTTTCTTCGAGGTAAGTATTAGATTTGGCGAACCGTGTGCAAAATATCAGCAGTGTCAAAGGATGGATACGAATCAGACTGACAAGCGAAACAAGAAAGAGGATCCTGCAGTGACGAACTTCAGGGAATATCTGAGGATAAAAACAGTACATCCTTTCCCTGACTATGGTATAATATTTGGATTTCCCATCATTATAATCATAGGAACATGTTGTTAAGGAGTTCCTCCAAATATGCGCGCACCACCTTACTGTACTGTTGTAAAAACTGATTGCTTCAGTATTTTGAATCGGTAGTTTTTACTTATTCTTTTTATCATTTACCTTCGAGAAGGATGAACAGTAAAACTTCAATAAAAATTGTCCATAAGTCGAAATCAAGTCGGATAGTTGGTCAAAAAACAAAAACAGCGACAGTAACGTGAGGCATAGACATGGTGGTACTAAAAGTTAACTTAAATCGACCTAATCTGAGTTTCCTTCGACCCTGGCTTCTCCATTTTTGATATTTGGACATATATATTTGGGGTTTAGGGTCAGAGTCAGTGGCCTATCGAAAAGTTGGAATTCGGCGACACCACATATTTTTAACATAGTGTAGACTAGCCGATCTAGCAAATTTGAACGCCATTTCAACGAGATATACCTTTATGAAATTTATATATGATTTATTTTTTCAGATATTGCGAGTATAGCATTCTTTATATCTTTAATGACAAATGAGATGAAACTACAGTGTTGATGAATTTGACCCAGAACTTGACGTTTGCATTGCTGTCTGTGATTTGGATTTTTGAAGTAGCTTTAAAATATTTGTGAGTATTATCACTATAGTGTCTGCAGTATGGCAGTTTATAGTGATGTCTAGCACTGGGACATCATGCCGCAGACATGTAGCATGTCCCACCCAGGCACATTATCCTGACACCAGACCAGCCAGTCCTAACACTAACCTCTTTATGCTTGGTCCCAAGCGAGGCAGCTTCTAGTACCATTTTTGTGAATCTTTGGTATGATTCGGTGTGGGTTGAATAATTTGGAGTTTTTTGGCGGATGTTTTCGTAAGCCTTGATTTTACTAAATATTGGCTGACTTTCCTGAACCAATACATTTTGTGCCGTTTCTTCCTGTGATGTGTCTTACCAGTATTTTCTCCCAGGACATGCTATCTTTTCATATTCTGGTCAGCTCTGGCCAAACTGCACAGTAACTAAAGGTCAGTGTTAAGTATACAAGCTAGAAAGCCAGCATGACTAATAAGCAGTAAATCATTATTATGGTAATTATCTTGTAAAATGGACTGGTCCATTAACATAATTCAAAAAACCATGTTCTGTAGTGTGTGTTGTGTAAGCACCAGCATGACAGGCCATAGAACACAATTAATTTCACTATATTGTCTCTACATTTGTTTCTCAGTACTGAACTTTCCACTGTGTGACAATCAATACAAATCATATGTTAATCTAAAATACCTTCAAAGAATACTTTACGGTTTAGTTGTTGTGAAGAGTTGACCTACATTTTTTTGAGAGGCTGAATTGTAAACAAAACACAGATTTCACTTCCGGATCATCACCATGACCTTATTACTCAATGTGCACTGTCGCCGAAATACACACAGACAACCACACCATAAGCTCACATTTTAAAGAATAAACAATTGCCTTTAAATCCTTACCAAGAATGCCAAAATCTAACTCTAGTATCACCAC